CCCCCCCCCTTCATTTTAAGGAGTAATTATTCTGACGCCTTCGTGGTTGGTCCTTGGGGCCGGCCGCCTGTTACTTGCGGTTAGTGTGTGAAAAAGTAGTTGGGCTTGTGGGCTTCCTTCCACTGAAAAGCTTGACGTAAGCTTCACCTTGAGGACTTTTTATAACTGTAGAAGTTGAAGCTGCTGAGGTGAGAGGTGCTCAAGTAGTAACTGTCGGGTTTTACTCACTGCTTTACGTATAAGAATAAACATGGGGCAATGGTGAGTACTGCTGGGAGGAAGGGCTGATTTCACTGGCCTCTTCTGGCCCTGAAGAGGCTCAGCAGGTCGTGTTGGAAGACCTTCTGCCTTTTGGTTGAGAAAAAGGACAACATTTTTATGATGTTGAGTATTGTCCGAGCCAGGAGCAATTAATAGTAACTGCATTTGAACTTGTGCATAATGCAAGTGTGACTTCAACTGCTTGACGAAGCCAGACTCCACGGGTGCACTGGCAGAGCCCCTTGTAGGAGCCAGACTGTATCCTGTTGCTCATTTTCAGCTGAAGCTGCATTTATCTTCCCTTTAATAGCAGTTTGCTTCAACATGCAGTTTAAGTAAAAATTACAGGAACATGTGTTTATACTTGTAGTTCGAGTCAAAATGGATTAATTTCTCCATAATGGCTATTTACTCCATGTCATAAAAAATGGTATTGTTTGCTGTGGTAGTGGATCTTACATTTTTCAAAGCCAGCCTTCATTCTATTAAGTAATTCCTATCATACTTTCCTTAGGGAAAGCATCTATACACTAAAGAGATATAGATGTGAAGGAATAGCCTTACCAGATGCAACACAGTAAATTTCTAGTGGAACTAAAAAATGGAGATTTCCAGGTCCTCCTGGCTCTAGAATTATGAATCATAGTCTGTCATGATGCTGTGTAACGCTGAAGCTTTGCCAGGAGATTGTTAGGGCTGCGTTTACCGAGTTGTGCAGTATAAGTTGGAAGCTGGAGAGGACAGAGTTGTGCTACCCATAATTGTAAAATACATTGGGCATCCTCCGTTAAAATATTTGATGGGAGCCAGACTTCACAGTTTTTATGGATGTCTGTAAGCATGATGGATAGCTTTTATATTTTAGTGGTAACTGTGGTGATGAGAGGGAGATTTGCTTATGGCATTAACAGGGTTTCTAGTTTTGTTCTGGATGACAACTTCTAAAGCTACGCTGTGAGAGTTGAGATGTCTCTAAGTGACTAGCTCAGTGAAGGGCTCGCATGTCAGGGGAAAACCCACAAACTTGCAAGGTGTGTGTGGAGACTTGAACACTGCTGGTTTTTCTTGCTGAGAACCGAGATCTTCTGAGGTGGTAGGTTGGGTCTCCAGAGGTGAAGGAAAGGAATTGAACTCTTTGGTGGGACTTGTGCTGAGGCTCTTGATGCTTGCACTTTACAATACTGGTAGCTGTTGCACTAAGTCTACTACAAAGCTCCAATGTATACTGCTGCAAAGACCTTTTTTGACTGTCTCTATTCCTGAGCATGTAATAACAACCTTGTCTTTTGCTTTCACTTGGTAGGAATAATGTTGCCAACATGTCTGTGCAGTCACTGCTTTGTGAAAGAATTGCTGTTGCCAAAGAATTGATCAAGAGAGCGGAAGCCCTTTCCAAGTCCCAGAAAAGGAAAATAGAAGGCGGGGCAAAACTATGTGGGAAACTGAAGGCTGAGCTAAACTTCTTACACAAGGTGGAGGCAGGGAAGGTGGCCATTAAAGAATCCCATCTGCAAAGTACAAACCTTACCCATCTCCAAGCTATTATTCAGTCAGCAGAGAACCTGGAGGATGTTGTCAGTGTCCTCCGTGTCTTTGCTTATGAGGACAGGTTTGGAGACAAGCAGACGCTGGTGGTGGACGTTGTTGCAAACGGAGGTCACACGTGGGTGAAGGCCATCGGCCGGAAGGCTGAGGCCCTGCATAACATCTGGCTGGGGAGAGGCCAGTATGGTGACAAAAGCGTCATTGAGCAGGCAGAGGACTTCCTGCAAGCCAGCCGTCAGCAGCCAGTGGAGTACAGCAACCCCCACATCATCTTTGCGTTCTACAACAGCGTGTCCAGTCCTATGGCAGAGAGGCTCAAGGAGATGGGAATATCTGTGCGAGGAGACATCGTGGCTGTGAACTCGCTGGCGGAGCCATCTACCGAGACCCATCGCCTTAGTGCCAGTGAATCAGATGAAGAAGGCCTTGAACTCCTGCAGGTGACCAGAGTTGACCGGGAGAATTTAGTGGCCAGCATTGCTTTTCCTACCCAGATCAAAGTTAACGTGTGCAATAGAGTTAACCTGGACATCACTACCTTGATAACTTACGTCTCTGCTCTGAGCTACGGTGGCTGCCACTTCATCTTCAAAGAAAAAGTGCTAACAGAGCAAGCAGCTCAGGAAAGGAGGGAGAGAGTCCTGCCTCAGCTGGAGGAGTTCATGGAGGGGAAGGAGCTTTTTGCCTGTCAATCTGCTGTGAGAGATTTTCAGTCCATCTTGGAAACGCTGGGAGGACCTGGAGAGAAAGAGCGAGCTGCGTTACTTGTTCAAAGAATTCATGTGGTGCCAGATCAGCCGTCTGACCGTGCCTTAAGACTAGTGGCTAGTTCAAAAATCAACAGCCGTTCTCTTACCATTTTTGGGACAGGGGACACTTTAAAAGCCGTCACCATGACTGCAAATAGTGGTTTTGTGAGGGCAGCAGCTAACCAAGGTGTCAAGTTCAGTGTTTTTGTTCATCAGCCACGAGCATTGACAGAAAGCAAAGAATCTGTTGCCACACCTTTACCAAAGAGCTGCCCACCCGATGGACTATGAGTCAGTAAATGAGTTAGTCACTGAAATAGTGCAGGTGCTGCAGTGGAGGCATTTGGAGAAATGAGTCGTCATAACACATTTTTGGGTGTGTATCAGTGAAAATGGTAACTGTAGCAGTGAAAGGATTCCTCAAGGAATTTGCAATATCTTTACTTAGTTCTTGCTTTTGTTGTTCAGCTGACTGTTAATTTATTCACTAAGGTAATAAGATTTCGGTGATAATTAACTGTCATACAGTATATTAATTGTATCTATCCCTATTAAAAAGTTCACTTAAAGCACACCTGTCTTTGTGCCCTTGTCATTTTTGTCCTTTTCAGAGAGATTAACTTCAGCACCTTAGATGGACTTCAGGGTTGACTGGTGTGAAACTTAAATCTTTCTTTCCCCTATCCTATCCAACTGAATTGTTTGTCGAATCAGAGGTACCTTGTGTAGAGCCCTGTGCCTTTTTGTGTGTATGCTGCTTCCTGAAGCCGTGATTAGTAGCCATGAATAAAAACAAACTTAAGCCTTCCTTCTTTTACTGAAGGGAACATCCATATGTATACCATGTTAGACTGAGTTGGACAACAGCTTTAAAATTCCCAGAAAAGATCAGTTGAAATTGGAGTTTAGTGGCACTAGTATGTTGTGACTCTTGCGCCAAACTGAACAGCCAGTGGTAGCAGACCAAGGAGGCAAATCTTCCATTTTTTCTTAGGCTTTGCCTAAGTACAAAGTCTTGCTGGATACAAAACCCAGTTTAAGGCTTCGGATACTAGAATCCTAAACTGAGCCAACACCCAGGTAGTTTTTGATACTGTTGAGCTCTCTGCTGGGGACTCATGGTGAACTTGAATTTTGTGGCTTGTTTGATTACCTGAAACAAAAGCCTCACGGAGGTCCTTCAGTGCTGGGCAGGCAGGGGGGAAGAGGTTTGTGGGGTATGTTGTTAAATGCTACTTTGCCATATAGTAGAGAGAAGCTTTTTCAGTGGTGGTATAGCTGCAGATTTTACTCAAAATGTAGAACAAATAAACAATGGTTTCTTCCTTTTTATTTTTTTTTTTTTTTCAGGAGAGAGTTGCTGGTTTATAAGTCTTTCTAATGTTTTCCTGTGTGCTGTAATGACAAGCACTTGCTGTTTGGTATAAATTTGCATCAGGTTCCTAGCGGAAAATTTTGTCATTGCAGAGTGAACCTCTCAGCCCTGAGCTATACGTTTTATCAGGTCAGTGAAAGAGATACCCACTGAATATTTTATAGGCTGTTGTTCACCAAGATAGCATTATTATGCAGCTTGTAGTTCAGGCAAAGAACATTCCTTTGCCTCTTGCCACTCCACTCTGAATTTCTTTGTACAGTGCAAAGGTAGCTGCAGTGCTGCCCTTAGCCTTAGTCTCTACCTATTTATGTCTGTCTCCAGTACTCTGGTATACTCCAGCACTGGTCTAAAGATACTGGCATGCCAGCAAAACCATTCTGCATGCCTTTTCCAGCTGAGTAAGCTTAACTCCAAGGAGCAAAAAGCATACATTTTGTAGGTATGATTCTTGCTCTTACTTACTCTGTTCTTACTGTGCCTATGGAGTAACCTGTTAGGAGAAGTATCAACCAGTATCCACATGCTGCACATCTTTATCTGTAACTTTTACTTATGCAGAGGGCAGTCTGCTCTCCACTGGCCCCTTGTTTCTGCTGGTCGCTGAGGTTGTTCATGGAGTTTAGTTAAGATGGGTAGAACTGGGTTTTCTTGCTTCAGCATCCACTCTTCTACCTGCCAGTTTCGCAGTTCTCCCTTGGTGAGTCATTCTAACAAAACATCTAGCTTGTTCCTACACTCTGATGTGGTGTAATGAAACCTCATAGCAGGATACATCCCCCACTGTGTCCTTTTAATTTTTCTGAAAGTTCTGAATGGAAAGGAAGACCCGTGCAGTGAAACACAGCATTCTTACATGGTAGGTGACCCAGAGGAAGTCGTGAGAAGCAAGCAACCTCTGCATTGCCTAGGTTAGAAGTGGGTGAGCCCTATTTGCTGTATTTCTTTGCTCCTGCTGCAGAGCTAGCTGACTTCTTTTGTAGTGATAGTTTTGTATGAACATTAAACTCGACTCCGTTTCAAAGCCTCTGTATCTGGAGCCATCGTGTGGTGATTTTCTTCATTACCAGCTGTTTTACACCCAACACAGAATTTGTTACTGAACCCATTTTCTTTCTCTTACAGTTTCTACCAATCATATAACAATATTTTAGGAACATGAAACTAGAAGTTATCTGTGTGCCTCTGTGTAACTTGAGGGGGTTTTATTGTTATTTTGTGTCTCCCTGTTGCATGGTGCGATAAAAAGCTCAGACTGTGCCTGTTCTGGGATTTTTGGTTTTGTGGGTTTTTTAAAAGCTTTTTTTATTTTGAGTGGTTTTCTGGTTTATTGGTCAAGCAGCAGTGCAGTGCTGCCAGACTGTAAGAATTGCTTTATAAGATAGAACCTGAAGCTGAATGCTGGCTTGGAACCAAGGATGTGTTTTGATTGCAATATTTGGTGGCCTTTGTATTGCCTTCCAAGATATTGTTGATCTACATATATAAACCAGTGTTCTGGTTTAGTGCATTTGGATAGCTTCTGCTTAATTTTATGAATGGGTCATTAGATGTTGGACTTCCCTTATTTATGACTTTACAAATTAGTAATTAGAAGATACCAAATTATGTTTGAGATTACATTGAAAAAAGTGGAAATCCAAGACTGCTTACCCTTTCTTCCAGTATCACACAACTGCTTTGTCTGCAGTACACCAGGCACTTGAGGACATGGATACATCTTGCTTGCTGCAGTGGATTTTGTTTGTTTATTTTTTTCATGAAATTTTTCAGCATTAAGTTCCTTGGCAAAGATGGATTCCTAAACTGTTTTGGAGAACCTTGTTCTTCTGGCACTTTTAATTTCTTTTACATTATCTCTGTGTGGTTCCATAGTCTGCGAGGAGAGCCAGCATCTCCATGCTGTGCAGCGCTCAGCATGCTCTCTTTGCTCCAACAGTAAGAATACCAAACAAGGAATTCTGTGACTGATGCCAGGCAGTAGAAAGCACTTGGATATTATACAAGAAATAATAGGTAAGTTAAGTTGTTTCTAGTGTTTCTAATTTGTCTTCTACAGTTCTGTCAAAAGCAAACTTATTTTTGGACACAGCTGTGTGTCCTCCTTTACTTACTGTTGGTCTGGCTGACAAAATTGGAAGGTAAATGACTTGTGTGCTGTTGGACCTGCAAGTCGTGAAAACACTCAGAGGTAGTTTTGCATGTTGCAGCCACAACTGTGTAAAAGTGTTATTCTTTGATAGGTTAATGGGCTAAATAGTGGTTTGTGTTTCAAACTGTCCCCGTCCTCTGATGATGCCTTCAGCAGACTTAAAGCAGTCTGCTGAAGTCTTCTGGAGCCCATCTGAAAATAATTCCACAACCCTGTTCCTAGTCCCTGAAAACTGAACGTAGGCTTGGTCACAACAGTTATAAAACAAGAAAACACAAGCGTCAGTTGTTTGAAGTAAGTTTGAGAGGCCACCTAGAAAAAAATATCCTAAAATCTTTTTTGTTTAAGTGGATCAAGGAAATGATTTACAATAATGACAAAGCATGTCTTTGCAATTACATTCTTTACTTCAGGTTATTATGCAAGCAAAACAGCACAGGTCACCTGCTATCTAATTAACCTGGTAAAGTAAGCAAGAATTAGATGGGGTTCTTGGTCTGAAGGCTATGGTTACATTTTCTCTGCAAGCTGTAGTTTTAGGAACTGCTCTGTCATCCAGCTTGCTGCAGGCACTGTGTTCTTTTGTGGCGAAGTCAACTCTGTTGGTACGTATGGCCATTGCTTCTCCATCAGGATTTAATGTTGCTGTTTATTCTGGAGTAAAAACAAAGAGAGTGAATGTAAAACTACTTCACTGAGCGACAGAACTGCTTGGAATTGTGACTTTGGGGCTTTGCAAATTGTTTCCTATGAACACCATGGAAATGAAGATTGTTCCTATGTTAACTATTGTAAAGAACAAGCAAACAAAAAAACCCCAACCGTCCTCAAGCCTTCATTGTTCAGAATATCCTTCTGTCCATTTAAAAGATCCTCACTTGTGTCTTCCATAAGACATTACTCTTAAAAAAAAAAACAAACAACAACAAAAACCCCAACCCCCCCAAAACCAAAACAACAAAACCAACAAAAAAATCCCACCCAAACAAAAGAAAACCAAAGGAATTATCAACACCTGATAATGAACCTGTGTCCCTTTATTCATTAGTGAGATTGAGAGCATGATAAAGCAGCTTACTGTGGTAATTAGTAACATGGAGGTACAGGGAACAAAAGTTTAAACTTCAGTGTAGGTACCAAAATCCAGCAGCTAGAGGAATGAGTAACATGAGTGCTTGATAGTATTTTTTTGCTGAGGTTTATCACCTCCATTTACTGAAGCATTTGGGGTCTGCCCTGGGGGTAACAGTGGTGAAGGTGATACCTTACAGCAAGCTCAGGAAATTCTACTGTAGCGCTTGTGTGTTATGTTGGCAGTAGCAGTGTTGACTGATTTCAGGGGTTGCTTCATTTTGTGAAACCACACTGGACATGATACTCCAGTTTGCCTAGCACAGACATAGTCCTAAATGCTGTTGTAGTAAGTGGGAGAAAGAAAGGGAAAACATTTCAAAGGCAATGTTTTCAAGGGAAAACACTCATCAAAGGATGAGGCAGATGATGTGAACAAGAGTAAAGGAGTATGGAAGGTTCAGTCAGTGTCAGATTGTCTTTCCAGCCAGACTGGAAGCGTGGCAGGAATTGGTGAGGATAGGGAAAAAGTAACTCTGTGATGTATCCCCTTCCATGCTCTCTGCCCTGCTGTGAGCTCTGGAGGAGCTGCTGGTAGTTCTAAGGGACAAAGGGTAGAGCCTTTAAATTGTAACGCTGTTCAAGACAAGATCTTTGGGTGATGTATCACACATCCTCCTTGCAGGTGAGAGCTCTCTATGGATGGATGATATGACAGACCCTCTGCTGGTTTGCAGTCCCTGAATTTCTGGCTCCTCTTCAGGATTTTCTTCTGTAGGGGATACTTTGGCCCATCTTTATGGACATGAGATTCACCAGCGTGGCATGTCACTCAGGCAGACCACAGGTCTTCATAACAATGAAACTCCACCATATGGATTTGGGGAGGGGGTGGATGGGTGGTTTTTTTTTGTTTCCCCCCTATTAACAATGGACATTATAAAATCCGCAAGAGAAGGCTCTTTCATGAAGAG